TTTGGGGTATTTCAAACCTAATTTCCCCAAACATGAGCATTCCATTCAGCAGCTAAATAAAGCATTACAATCATATTGCCAAGCATTTATATGAATTTTCGCATTGAGATTGACACTTGAGAGCCGAAATACATTTACTCATGTGCATGTGAAGGCACAAGGCATCTGACATGCACTTTAATTGTGTTTCGCTTGTTCATGCTTCAAACTTAACAAATTATTTAACAGTATCAGGACAAGCTGGTGAGACTTCTAGAAATTTTAAAAGCAGCTTTTCTGCTAATGCCAGTTTGCAACGCTGCAGTTTAATTTATTATGCAGTTAAACAGCCTGATAAATTTTGCTAGGCATATTCGTCTAACATGAGCTTAGCATACTGTCAAACTCCCGGTCAACATTTGCAACCATGAACATGAACATGATTAAACGGTGACCAAAGCACAACTAACTGTCAAATGAGCTAAGCTTACCAGGTGGCAATCCACAGTTACATTTATTATGTTGTTAAACTGCCTGGTAAATGTTGCTGGTAAATTCACCAAAATGAAGTCTAACAAACTGCAAAAGTCTTGGGCAACATTTGAAATGCAGGTCGCCGAACAAAGTCAGTTAAACCGCCTGGTAAATGCACTCAAGTTCAGGCATGTTAACTTTAACATAAACCTGCGCTTAGTGCTGCCACGCCCCATTTGCAAGCATCTTTTATTCAACGTGTGACAAACTTTTTCATTTGCTTTTTTTTCTTCTTTGTTTCGGCTTTATTTCACATAATTTTTGCGCCTTTATGCGAGGAGCCTTTGAAGCGCCATTGAAGGGCAGCCAACCGCGTCGCGTTCACATGTCAAATTGCATGTGAAGCTGTGTGTGCGTGGGTGTGTGTGTATGTGTGGGTGTAAGTGGGCGTAAAGTGTCTATGTGTGTGTGTAGGTATTTGTGTGTGTGTGTGTTCATGGGTCTTAACACATGCTTAATTGTTTGTTTGCTTCTGTGTCTGTGACAGCCATCCGGCTGATCTCTCTCTCTCCCTCTCTCTCTCTCCCCCTCTCTCTCTCTCTCTCTGTCTCTATTTACGCTTTGCACGTCGCCTTTTGTTTAGTTTTTACGTCTGGCCAAATGCGAAAGCAGCTCGTAAACTTCAGCGAGAACAACAACAACAACAACAATAACACAGCCCGAAGGACAACAACTAAATAAGGCTCGCGCGTAACAATAGCAAAGGATACCCTACAAAGGCGGGCCTATCGCTTCACAGACCAACTCTGACTTCTCTTTAAATCAAAATTTACTGTTTTTTTTTGCAGCTTTTAACTGAAACATTTATTTGAAGCATTTAATTAACTAGCTGCTTGTCTGCCGTAGGGTATTCCGGTTTCGCTGTGCCTTTGATAATTTTCCTATATTTTTTTTTTGCCTTCAATTTTATTTTTAGCGTAGTTTTTTTTGAGGCTCAGACAACTTAATGCTATTTGCTTTACACTCCCACGCACACACACACACACACACAAACCCAGTTGTGCGCACCTTACAGTCCCTTCGGCATCTCAGCGCCACCCTCCCTCCCCTTCTCTCCCTTCCTGCCACCCCCCCTCTCGCAACAGAGCCTTTGTTTGCCTTTCTTAACAACTTAAGCACGTCGTCTATATTGGTTTTCGGGCGCTACTCTTTTAAAAAAAGATTTCGCTTCCTGCTTTTGCCTTTGCTTTGTGAAAATAATCACGCGCAGCTTTGAGATTCTTTTTTTTTTTACTTTCCACCATTTCCCCCATTTTTCTTTTTTTTTAAGTTTTTTTTGCACAGCTTTTCTTTTGCTTTTTCACACTTGGCTTCTTCCGCTTGGCGCCCGGACAACTCATAGTGCGCCGCTCTATTGTTTTCTTTTAATTTGTAGCTCTGCTCGTTGCCTTAAAAACTCGACAGGAAGGGCCAACGACTGTGCGTTCATGTCTAACAGCATATTAAGTAAATGAACCGGTTCACAAGAGCTTTAAATACCTTGTCGAACTGGTTCAGAGTGAGATATAAGAAAGAGCTTAAAATAGTTAGAAACAGTTGGAATGTGCTATAAGGGTTGCTTTTTGGAAATATAAATCATAATGTCAAACCTTAAGTTGCATTAAATCAAATTCAAGTTCACAAGAGCTTTAAATATCTTGTTGAACTGATTCAGAGTGAGAACTAAGCAAGATTTAAAAACAGTTCGCAATTGAAATCCGAAAGAGAACTGCGTTTAGGGATCATAAATCATAATTCAAACCTCAACATTATAGCTTTAAATATGTTGACGAACTAGTTCAGAGTTGTCTAACTAGCTCAAAATTGTCGAACTAGTTCAAAGTGAGAAGAACTTAGTAAAAATTAAAAATAGTTGTAAATAGTTGGTATTTGATATGAGGGTTGTGTTTGGGGAATATAATATTTGCTTACGCCTTGCTACTATACTCGTTGGGAATTATAAAGCATACCACAGTTAATATGACAATAATTGTCATATATAATATTTCTTTTACAATATTGATTTTCTCTTCCTTTAGAAAGTAGTCTGACACAATCTAAACTGAGGTCTATTTTGTTAGTTTTCGATCTAGAAATCTATCTCCTGCCACTTTGGACTACTAATTACTGCAATTCACTTCATGTATCTTTGTTTATTTATAGAGCTTTATATTCCCCTATTTTATAAAGTTCCTGCCTAAAGATATGAATATTTGGGAAAATACAGACAGTTCTATAAATAAACAAAGATGCATCAATTTAATTTCAGAAATGAATAAACTAATAATAATATTATTCTCCATTCTATTAATGTGGCCCCAATGTACAAAATATCCCCTAATACCTTCCTATTCTGTCTTGATAATGAGCTGCTTCATTCAGAGTCATATTTCAGCATATGTATGACATATGACATACGACATATGCCGATATCCACCTCGGGTATAACTCAAGGGGATCTAATTTGATTTGTGCACGGGTCAGAATAAGTACAGATAAATACCGATAAGTACAGATAAACGGGATCATTAATTAACCCGCTTTGAGCTTAGCTCCAAATGAGGCATGTTATGGGACATCAATCAAACTGAAAACTAAGACTGTCGGGATTGCACGACTGGCTGATACCCTGATACCCTGAACGCAGCTGCCGTTGAAGACATTCCAGCTTTCAAGCACTCTATGGGCCATTTTAAATGGCAATAGTTGGCTAAGCGTGCTGCTCAGTTGGGTCAGAAATGCCGCTAGATTGTGGCAAGCACCTGGATAGGATGCAGAGGCCATAAGCCAGGTGCCAGGAGCCAGGTGCCGGGACGTGGGTGCAGTGAAGCAGCGCATGGAAATCAATTTACGGCTAACTAACGGCAAACAAAGCGGCTTCACATGAATGTAAACGACATGGCGAAAACCAATCAGGCGCACTTGAGGCCACACCAAGAGAAAGAGAGAGAGAGGGAAGAGAGAGAGAGGAAAAGAGAGATAGAGAGGGAGCAAGATTAAGATAGTGGGGCACAAAGAAAATGTAGAGCCTGTGTCTCTGGCATCTGTCAATGCTATTAACTTTTGTGCCGCACACACACACAACACACACACACGCACACAGAGACAGGGACACACCTCCACAAGCTGCACTTGGAGGACATTTATCCTTTGGCGCCTGAGTGTATGCAGCACTTTGTTGCTTAATTGATTTTAATGCCACGCGCACGGGGCCTACAATTTGCCAACGTTTCTCGAGTCGAGTCGAGTTGAGTCTATAAATTGGCTTTTTCCTTTGCCCCGCTATCAACTGCAGCAGCAGCTGCTGATCTGCCGCTCTGCCGCTGCTCTGTCCATTTCCCATTTCCATTTCCGTTTTCAATTGCAAAAGGAAGCAGCGCTGGCAAAGTGGAGCAAAAACGAGAGAAATGCCATTTATTGAATTGTATAAATTTCTGCACATTGACAGCGACTGTTTATTTTACACACACACACAGATGTGTGTGTTCTATGTGTGTGTGCTCTGTGTTTTGTTAAGCTTTATCGCATTTGCATGGCAGCGGCCCCCCCCCTCCGTTGGCAGGTCAAGTGCTTGGCCCCGCCACGCCGCACCCTGCAGGTCACTCATTTGTTCTTTTGATTGGTGGCAAACGCAAAGCGTTTTTGCCTTTGCCCTTTCATGTCCATTTCGCTTTTGTTGTATTAGTAAAATAAATTACCATTTAGTGCTTTTTGCCACTAGCATTTGCCCCCGCCCCCTCCCCCTCCCCCTCCTCCCTCGCTGTTTCTCTCTGTGTCTCCCCCAAGGCGTCACACATGGTCGACTGTTGTCCTTTGGCCCTAGCAAATGAAATTATTGCTGCAGCTTTGCATCCTTTTGCTTGGATTATAAGCACACATGTGGGCTGCTCCAGACGCGCTGTGTGTGTGTGTGTGTGGGTGTGTGTGTGTGTGAGACGCTCACAATTGCAGCCATAATAAATTGTTCGCAATCGCATTTCCGTTTCTTTATGCGCTTCGATTACGTTGCGCTTGACTGCTGCCAGTTCTGTGCCCCCCTCCCCCCCTCCCCCCCTCCACCACTCTGCCTTCGCATCCTGATCGTAATTGAATATATAATTTTTTTTTAGCTCCTTACACACACACATGCCCAATCGCTTGTGACTGGCATTTGAATATAAATTGTTTCATCTGCTCGCAAAATATTCATTTCAATTTATTTGACTTTCCTTTTGCTCTCTTACATTTTTTTTTCTGTGTTGTCTGTTTTGCGAGTTTTATTTGTTGTTTAATAAATTATTTATGTGTATTTGTATATGTGTGTGTGTGTGGGTGTGTGTGTGTAGCACTTGCTGCTCCGCTCAGAGAAAGTTTTCTATGATTGTCAACCTTCAAGGATTCAGAGCTGTCCTCTCAAACTCTTAAAGTAATGCCTAAAAGCAAAAGCTGCTACTTTCAACAACTTTGCATTTGAGTTTTTGCATAAGTATTTAACTTGACAACTTTTTCTCTGTCTTTATCTTTTGCAGTGCCAAGCAAGCCTCAGAATCTCACCGTCTTGGATGTCTCCGCGAACAGCATCACAATGTCCTGGCATCCGCCAAAGAATCAGAATGGCGCCATCGCCGGCTATCATGTCTTTCACATACACGACAATCAAACGGGCGTCGAGATTGTTAAGAACTCACGCAACTCGGCCGAAACGCTGATACACTTCGAACTCCAGAGTCTGAGTAAGTACAAAACAAAGAAAGTATCCTAAAAGGAATTCAAATTAAGCAAAAAGTTCACCTTTTCATGTACCAAAGGTTTAGTTGGGTAAAATGAATTACAAAAGTATAAAAATATATTTATTAGAAATTTAATTGACCTATTGGCAATTATTTCAAAAATGTGAATAACCACAGGCTGGGTGGAAAATCAGGTTTGCAAACCGAGCTGAACCGAAACGCCGAAAAAAAAACAATTGAATCTGTAACAATATATCTTATATGAATAGATAGATAGATAATAATTATAAGCTATAACATTGCGGCCTAAAGTACAAGCGGAAATAACCCGGCATTGCCCGTTACAAGTTTTGAGCCTACAATTTTAAATACAACTTTTTCATTCAGTTCCCACACGAGCTTTATTTCAATCCTTCCGTGATATCTGGAAAATAAATTTAAAGATCATCCAATAATATATAATAATAAAGAACCAAAAGTTGGAAGCAACAGTTTCCACCCATGTTAGTCTTGTGGTGAGAAGTTTGAAGCTTTCTTAAAATCCTTGACCCCCATTTTTAATCTGATCCGATGATCCTTATGATCTTAAGTATTCCACAAAGTCCTTTAAGTGTATACTTATAGGACATTTTATATCCATACTTCTTATGCTATTTGTGAAATGGAATATTTCTAAAAAGCATGCTGAGCACAGTCTGAAATAACAATAAGTTCGGATAACTTCGTAGCCTGCGCTCAGTCCATTAAGCCTATGTTGGGAATATGTCTAACAAGAGTTCCGAGAACAGTCTAAAATATCAAAGAGTTGCGCTGAGTCCTTCAACCTTATGTTCATTATATTATATACCCAATATATATGCTCTGCTCTCCAAACTCCACAATTTATCTGCTCAAATCCACTTTAATGCTCGCAGCTTTTGCTTAAATGTGCTTGGCACCTTTCGTTGTATATTTTCTCAAGTTCGCGGCCAAAAATTTGTGCGGACACGCTCAAGTGGTTTATTAAAGACTTTTAAGCTGGCCCGTAACCGCAGCTTATTGGCAGGTACAGTCATGCCCAAAAGGCAGCCAACGGCACTTAAAACGCCATTTTAATTGCTTTTTATGGTTCGAACCGCACTTTCCCGCCGTTTGCCCCTTGGGCAAACTGTCAATACGTGGCAAAGGTAGCAAGAGTCAAGCCGTCAACATTGACGCCCACGCGCCGCACACCGTCTCCTTAGATCCTTGAGGAACCCTGTTCGCCGCCGCCTCCCCGCGCTTCGGCCCATCCTTTCATTAGCTGTAATTGCAGCTCAAGTCAATTGTTTGCCCGCCGCGCTTTGTAATTAAATAGTTTCAAGTGCTTTACGCTGGCCACTTTTTGTTTTGTTGTTAACAACTTTTCGACGCCATGTAATTATGAGCCCGGGCTTTCGAGACACCTTTAGAAAGCACCGCTCCCGCCCCTCTCCCTGAAACCCGCTCTAAACTGAGCTAACCAAACAAATTATTTGCTTGTCGCGAAATTTGATGGTTGTTTCATTAAGCTGAAATGTGCGCCAACCCAACCCTCCGCCCCTTACCGCTGCTCGCCGCAAATTCCTTTGTCATTGCATACTTTTAGGCTGCGTGTGGCAAGAACAACAGCAGCAGCAGCATGCAGCATGCCACATTATTAGCCGAACAGCAAAAACAGTTGCATAGTTGCATAGTTAACAGAGTGCGAGAGGGGAAGTGGCACAGGGGAGGGGGTGCGTACGGCTACCAGCAGCATGCCATGCAATTAACTTGCAACATAAGAACGCGCCGCATTCCGTGCCGCCTCATACGGCCGCTGAAGCTGTAGTTGTAGCTGTAGCTGGCGGCGCCCCCACATTGTTTAATTAATTACGCGCGTCAGGTGCGCCAGGCATGAGTTGCAGCTGCAGCTGTTGTAGTTGCTGTTGTTGTTGTTGCAACCAGCTTTTGTTGCTTGCAACAATTTGCCAAAAGACTTGGCAAATGTGGCACAGCGTGCGCGCAGCTTTGTCAGCAGCTTTGCTTTTTTCTCTCTCTCTCTCTCTTTTTTTGCATTTAAATATTTAAAGTTTTAATTTTGTTGCAGTTGCAGCAAATGCCGCACGCTTTGTGGCGCCACCATAATTAATAATTTGTCGCTGCATATTAAATCAATTATTGTTGTTGTTGTCAATGTTGCAGTTATTAACGTGCCACACTTGCTCAATGGTTGCCAGCTTAACATAATCAAAAGTTGTCTTTGTTGTTGCAATTGTTGCTCTTGTTATTGTTGTTGCTGTTGTTGTTGTGCTTGTGGCTGTTGCTGTGACATTTTCACATTTAAACTCAAATTTAATTATATCCCAGCTGCCAGGGCTGTCATATCTGGCACGCTTTTCATATTGTGACACGCTTTATAAATGACCACAAAAAAAGAGAGTCAAGCTGTCAGCGAACGCGACCAGCAGATACCCTGCACTTATAAACACTCCAAACCCCTTTCCCTTCTCACATTCAGGCTTCTTCTGCTGCTTGGGCAATGCATTGTTGCATAACTTCGGTGCTTATAGTCCGAAATCCTTTTTTTGAGCCTAAATATGGCAGCCAAATGTGTGTGAATACCAAAGCACAAGGGTATGGGCCTTTCGTACAGTTTTGAGGGGAACCGGGGAAGGTTTTCAAAAAGTTAAATAGTTATTAGCCTGCATACACTAAATGAGAACCTAAATATCAATTGGGGTGTAGATCTCAAAATTCTCTTATAATCCTCGAGCTATTGTCGAAAGCGAGATGAGGCGAAGTAGGGAGTCAAAGTTGTATAAGACACATATTGATAACTTTATATTATTATCAATTATTAATAGTCTTTTTGTTGTAAGACATGAGCCCAATAAGCCTTCCAAGCTGAAATAATAAATAACTAGAGTCATGAAAACCAATCCAGCCAAATGCCAATTGCTCAAAATCGATTGCTCGATATCGATATTCTGCGAAGATAGAATATCGAAATAATGATATGATCTTATTGCGTAAGGTATAAAAGTACATATAATTCCAGTTTTTAAAGTTTCTAGTTTTCCACTTGGAAGGACAAACAGAAATATGAACAGATGGAAATACAAATTTATTCACCTAGAGTTCCTTATGGGCTTGCAGATGTTTTCTTCTGCCTTTTAGTTTAATTTTCACAAAACTATAATACTCTTCTTACCCATTTCCAATAAGTTCTCAGCCTGAACAATCGACAATGACTTTAAACAACCGATTTCCAACACTATTTTTATAGTTTTTACGATAAAGAACAGGTCTACGCTTCTCCAGACTTGTATATAAGCTCAATCACGTTGTTCTTTTAAATGAAATCCCTGGCTCATCTGAAAATTACGGCAGCTTCATTTTCATGGTAATCGAGTCATAATAATTGAGTTATAAGCGCCAATCGCCATGGGCCATGGAAATATTTGCTGGCAATTTACATTTAAGATAAAAATGAATTTATATACATAACATATTGAATAATAAAACATCAAAGTCATGGCAATCACATTGTATTTTTAACTCACTTTGCTTCTTCTTGTTTTTTTTTTTTTTGCAGAACCCTTTACCGACTACCGCGTCATTGTCAAAGCGTTTACAACAAAGAACGAGGGCGAGCCATCCGATCAGATTGCCCAGCGTACGGATGTGGGCGGGCCCAGTGCGCCGGCGATTGTAAATCTGACGTGTCACTCGCAGGAGTCGATTACGATACGCTGGAAGCGACCCAACGAGTTCTACAATACCATCGACTTTTACATCATCAAAACACGACTCGCCGGCCAGGATACGCACCGTGATATACGCATCAATGCATCCGCCAAGGAGCTGGAAACGGCGGTAAGCATCGACCCACAGGGCATTGTTTTTAGAGTCCGATTCCGTGTCCAATCCAGAACCAGGAGGGGAGGGGGGGGGGGGGGGGGGCAGAACGTGGCCAGGCAGGGGCCAGGATGCAGCTAGCTGGCCAGCAATTTGTCATATATATTCCAGAAGTTTTCGTTTTACATTCCATTTTTCTTTTTTTACTGTCCTGCATGCCGCCATTTTGTCGGCCATGTTGAAAGCAAGCAGAATGGGGGCGGCAACACACACACACACTCGCACACACTCGCACACACTGGCACACACACACCTTGTTCATTGTCTGTAAATTGTTGAGCTGCGAGTTCTGTTTCTCTTTTTGCCAACTTTATGTTGATATTTTGGTTATTTCTTGTTTTTTGCTTCTTCATTTATTTGGTTTTTTGATAACAAGGGGGAAAACTAGAAAGAATTTGAAAAAAAAAAAAAACAACAACAAACAAATATAATTGCATTTTTATGTTACAAACAGCATGAATAACCAGTGAAAATTTCACAGAAAACCAGGGTCTGCTCGACTCTAAAATGCCCTGGATAAAATCATGCTACAAATTGAAGTTGAATTCTTTAGATTTAAATATATTATTTTAGAGAATATTTAATTGGCTGGCTCGAAGCTTGGGGCTAAGTTTATTAAAATACAAGAAATTAGAAGAATATGTAAAATAGGATTACATCCAAAACATATTTTGAAAGAAAAAAGAAAATGTTATGCTAAATGAAGTTTAAAATACAATCAATTGGGAGGAGAAAAATAACATCAAACTTGGCACTTTAATGTCAACAAAGATACACAATTGCCACGGAAGGCAATAACTAAATTGAAATTAATAAGGAAAATATCATCACATATAAAAATTCAACATCTTTGGACATTGTCCATGAAAGTTAAGAGGAACTTTTTTAGCTTCACAAACCCAAATTTATAAAAATGTTGTCATAGACAACATAGACAATTTTATTTTCAAATTATAAATTTATAGATATTATTTTTATCAGGAAAATGGTTTTTAAAAAGTTTCTATAAAGAAATATCGCATAAATGCTTTTCTCTTCAAAATTCAACAAATTAAAAGGCAAATTCAATTCAGAAGACAGGCAAAAAAGAGTAAGAGTTGGTAATCTTGGGGTAAGATTTGGACATGAATTTCAACTAAAAAATCGGTGTCGAGCTTTGAATGCCAGATCAATCTAGAGGGAAAACTATGAAGAAAAAGCCAAACTTCGTGGAAATCGGAAAAGATTTGGCCGAGTTATGGGGGTGGTAATTTTTGACCCATGTCTATATACGAATCTTGGGGTAAGATTCGGACATGAATTTCGACTAAAAAATCGGTGTCGAGATTTGAATGTCAGATTAATCTAGAGGGAAAACCGTGAAGAAAAAGCCAAACTTCGTGAAAATCGGATGAGATTTGGCCGAGATATGGGGGTGGTAAATTTTGACCCATGTCTATATACGAATCTTGGGGTAAGATTTGGACATGAATTTCGACTAAAAAATCGGTGTCGAGATTTGAATGCCAGATTAATCTAGAGGGAAAATCATTAACAAAAAGCCAAACTTCGTGAAAATCGGATGAGATTTGGCCGAGATATGGGGGTGGTAAATTTTGACCCATGTCTATATACGAATCTTGGGGTAAGATTTGGACATGAATTTCGACTAAAAAATCGGTGTCGAGCTTTGAATGCCAGATTAATCTAGAGGGAAAACCATGAAGAAAAAGCCAAACTTCGTGAAAATCGGATGAGATTTGGCCGAGATATGGGGGTGGTAATTTTTGACCCATGTCTATATACGAATCTTGGGGTAAGATTTGGACATGAATTTCGACTAAAAAATCGGTGTCGAGATTTGAATGCCAGATTAATCTAGAGGGAAAATCATTAACAAAAAGCCAAACTTCGTGAAAATCGGATGAGATTTGACAAAGTTATGGGGGTGGTAATTTTTGACCCATGTCTATATACAAATCTTGGGGTAAGATTTGGACATGATTTTCGACTAAAAAATCGGTGTCGAGATTTGAATGCCAGATTAATCTAGAGGGAAAACCGTGAAGAAAAAGCCAAACTTCGTGAAAATCGGATGAGATTTGGCCGAGATATGGGGGTGGTAATTTTTGACCCATGTCTATATACGAATCTTGGGGTAAGATTTGGACATGAATTTCGACTAAAAAATCGGTGTAGAGATTTGAATGTAAGATTTATCTAGAGGGAAAATCATTAACAAAAAGCCAAACTTCGTGAAAATCGGATGAGATTTTGCCGAGATATGGGGGTGGTAATTTTTGACCCATGTCTATATACGAATCTTGGGGTAAGATTTGGACATGAATTTCGACTAAAAAATCGGTGTCGAGCTTTGAATGCCAGATTAATCTAGAGGGAAAATCATTAACAAAAAGCCAAACTTCGTGAAAATCGGATGAGATTTGACCGAGTTATGGGGGTGGTAATTTTTGACCCACGTCTATATACGAATCTTGGGGTAAGATTTGGACATGAATTACGACTAAAAAATCGGTGTTCAGATTTGAATGCCAGTTTAATCTAGAGGGAAAATCATTAACAAAAAGCCAAACTTCGTGAAAATCGGATGAGATTTGACAAAGTTATGGGGGTGGTAATTTTTGACCCACGTCTATATACGAATCTTGGGGTAAGATTTGGACATGAATTTCGACTAAAAAATCGGTGTTCAAATTTGAATGCCAGATTAATCTAGAGGGAAAATCATTAACAAAAAGCCAAACTTCGTGAAAATCGGATGAGATTTGGCCGAGATATGGGGGTGGTAAATTTTGACCCATGTCTATATACGAATCTTGGGGTAAGATTTGGACATGAATTTCGACTAAAAAATCGGTGTCGAGCTTTGAATGCCAGATTAATCTAGAGGGAAAACCATGAAGAAAAAGCCAAACTTCGTGAAAATCGGATGAGATTTGGCCGAGATATGGGGGTGGTAATTTTTGACCCATGTCTATATACGAATCTTGGGGTAAGATTTGGACATGAATTTCGACTAAAAAATCGGTGTCGAGTTTTGAATGCCAGATTAATCTAGAGGGAAAACCATGAAGAAAAAGCCAAACTTCGTGAAAATCGGATGAGATTTGGCCGAGATATGGGGGTGGTAATTTTTGACCCATGTCTATATACGAATCTTGGGGTAAGATTTGGACATGAATTTCGACTAAAAAATCGGTGTCGAGATTTGAATGCCAGATTAATCTAGAGGGAAAATCATTAACAAAAAGCCAAACTTCGTGAAAATCGGATGAGATTTGACAAAGTTATGGGGGTGGTAATTTTTGACCCATGTCTATATACGAATCTTGGGGTAAGATTTGGACATGAATTTCGACTTAAAAAATCGGTGTCGAGATTTGAATGCCAGATTAATCTAGAGGGAAAATCATTAACAAAAAGCCAAACTTCGTGAAAATCGGATGAGATTTGACAAAGTTATGGGGGTGGTAATTTTTGACCCACGTCTATATACGAATCTTGGGGTAAGATTTGGACATGAATTTCGACTAAAAAATCGGTGTCGAGATTTGAATGTCAGATTAATCTAGAGGGAAAACCGTGAAGAAAAAGCCAAACTTCGTGAAAATCGGATGAGATTTGGCCGAGATATGGGGGTGGTAATTTTTGACCCATGTCTATATACGAATCTTGAGGTAAGATTTGGACATGAATTTCGACTAAAAAATCGGTGTCGAGTTTTGAATGCCAGATTCATCTAGAGGGAAAACCATGAAGAAAAAGCCAAACTTCGTGAAAATCGGCTGAGATTTGACCGAGTTATGGGGGTGGTAATTTTTGACCCATGTCTATACACGAATCTTGGGGTAAGATTTGGACATGAATTTCGACTAAAAAATCGGTGTCGAGCTTTGAATGCCAGATTAATCTAGAGGGAAAACCATGAAGAAAGAGCCAAACCTCGTGAAAATCGGATGAGATTTGGCCGAGATATGGGGGTGGTCATTTTTGACCCATGTCTATATACGAATCTTGGGGTAAGATTTGGACATGAATTTCGACTAAAAAATCGGTGTCGAGATTTGAATGCCAGATCAATCTAGAGGGAAAATCATTAACAAAAAGCCAAACTTCGTGAAAATCGGATGAGATTTGACAAAGTTATGCGGGTGGTAATTTTTGACCCACGTCTATATACGAATCTTGGGGTAAGATTTGGACATGAATTTCGACTAAAAAATCGGTGTCGAGATTTGAATGCCAGATTCATCTAGAGGGAAAACCGTGAAGAAAAAGCCAAACTTCGTGAAAATCGGATGAGATTTGGCCGAGATATGGGGGTGGTAAATTTTGACCCATGTCTATATACGAATCTTGGGGTAAGATTTGGACATGAATTTCGACTAAAAAATCGGTGTCGAGATTTGAATGCCAGATTAATCTAGAGGGAAAATCATTAACAAAAAGCCAAACTTCGTGAAAATCGGATGAGATTTGGCCGAGATATGGGGGTGGTAAATTTTGACCCATGTCTATATACGAATCTTGGGGTAAGATTTGGACATGAATTTCGACTAAAAAATCGGTGTCGAGCTTTGAATGCCAGATTAATCTAGAGGGAAAACCATGAAGAAAAAGCCAAACTTCGTGAAAATCGGATGAGATTTGGCCGAGATATGGGGGTGGTAATTTTTGACCCATGTCTATATACGAATCTTGGGGTAAGATTTGGACATGAATTTCGACTAAAAAATCGGTGTCGAGATTTGAATGCCAGATTAATCTAGAGGGAAAATCATTAACAAAAAGCCAAACTTCGTGAAAATCGGATGAGATTTGACAAAGTTATGGGGGTGGTAATTTTTGACCCATGTCTATATACAAATCTTGGGGTAAGATTTGGACATGATTTTCGACTAAAAAATCGGTGTCGAGATTTGAATGCCAGATTAATCTAGAGGGAAAACCGTGAAGAA